ACTTCGCGTACACCTACGTAAGGCAGTACAAAAGTCAATATTATAATTCAATAATAAAAGTTAATATTGCATTTTTCAAGCGAACAACTTGTAATAAGGTGTGATTTTATTATATCACTTTTGTTTCTCTGAACAGTCGACATGCAGTATTATTTGTAGATATTATATTTAATTGCCATATAGTAAACATCTCACATTTGAGTGATTTGTCATATAACACGTGAAAGTGTAAGAAGATAACGAACTAGGTTATAAAATCTCGTTCCACTTAAATTCCACCATTTTCTGTTTCTTTTTTTAATGAAAAAATCATTAAAATCTTTAAAGTCATGAGCGTTCTTGGCTGCTCAGAAAATGAAGTTTAAAGTGGATAAATTTATTTTCATCGTTTTATGCCTCTCGCGGATTTACGGTGTAATCTTGCTGATTCTGAAATTAATGTCTCTATTAAACAGAGGGAGGGAGAACGTCTATGGAATGATCATTAAGTGTTTTACAGCTCGTTTATTGACAAGTAAATGCCTAAGTAATGTCTTATTCCCCTAACGCATCTAATATTCTGTGACTCACCCAGCGCATACCGGACACGCCTCAAGTTGATTGCCCACAACTTGCGCTGTCTCTCCTTCTGAATCTTCAAGACACGTTTTGGGACTTCCTTTAGTTACCTCTCCACAGTTCCCCGAAATGACTTGTTGCCTTTGGAATAAATTGAGTTCATCGTGCTGTCGTATTTTCTCTTACGAACGTTTTCAGTAATGTTCTGAGGCAGTGCTGTGACGAAGTTTGATCTAGTTGATTTTACATTCTTAAACTCTGATCCCTATCTGCTATCTCTATCACACCCCTAATACCGATTCGAATACTGGGCAATTCCTATTCTAATTATTAGTATATTACTTTTGTCTCCTTATTGGACATATATCTATGACAATACGAAGTTGAGGGTGTTAATTTTCGCGATTGGACAATACTTATTCACTCCCAAACGGTATACTACATTATTTTGTCATATATTATTGTTTACAAAAGAGAAATATACTTTATGAAATAATAAAACATTGATGTTATTATTAAATTGGGCGACAGAACTCCTGAAAATTTTCAATTTTATTAGGGAATAAAACCATTCTTTATATTTGTGAAAGAAAAATTAGTAATATTTTACGTAGGGGTAAAATACAAAATATTTAGTGTGTAAAAAGTAGATAAGATGCATATTAAATAATAACCTTAACTGTTAAAAATGATTTTTGTTCGAATAATTGAGTAAGCCGATCGATAAACCAAACCCAGATCCCTTGTTACTCGCCCAGTTGTTTTAACCAATGGAGCTGCCAAGACAATCAACTTTTCGAAATGCTTGAGGGAGATAAGACACCAGCGGATCCCACCTGGTCACAGTTGGAAGTTTAACAATTGCTTGGCAATGTTTCCCATTTCGCGTTTTTACTCATGCAAATTCATACGTCCTAAGGATGGCGTAATTGTTATAAATTGCTTTTTGAACACTCAAAAAAATAATTAATTACGTTATTTCACTAACTATTTTCACAATCATGTCCAATTTTAGCAATATATTTCCATAAACTACTAAACAAATTAAAGTATTTTTCTGCCTACATGATGAACCATTTTAGAGTCGTTTCAATTACCCAAGCATTACGTGAGACTCAGACGGTTTTTCGCATACTCGTACATGGATGCTGTTACAAACCCATGCTCCACTGAGGCAAGGTCTGGTGTCTATAATGTTTTTTTTCTTCTCGGTTGAGATTTTCCTCGCTACTTTTCCCTATTGTGTCTGTCGAACTGAGTGCATTAAATGCGTGATCTGGGCTGTCCGGGTGACGCCGCGTCGAAGGCTGTGTTGCCGACGTTTCGACCATCTTGTCGTGGTCTTCCTCAGGGCTGGTATGCGAAAACCACGACATGATGGAGATGAGGAAGACATGATGGATGGACATGAGGAAGTCCACGACAAGATGGTCGAAACGTCGGCAACACAGCCTTTGACGCGGCGTCACTCGGACAGCTGATATCATGCACATGACTCTGGTCGCGGAAGCCTACGACTTCATGAGTGCATTAAATACTTACGTGTACTCTTAGTTTGTATGAACGACACCCATGCCAATCATTATCCTTAATCTTAACCAGAGAGTGACCATAGGAATCCAGAGTTTGGAATACCTGGAATATAATCATTTCAGTTATTCCAAACTTACAGAGATCCCTTGATGGCAGAGACAGAAAGTATTGATTTCATAATACCACTTACTTCAAAATCACGAACTCAGAAGACCAAGTGTAGTATGATCGTACCAGTTACTTCAAACCTCCCATAGTTCCCCGGATGGGTGCGATAGGAACCAATAATAGAAACTGCGAACCTTTAATGTTCCTCCAGATTGCAACAAGAAAAGCAGATCATCGTACCAGTTACCACTAACTCATTCGCCTCGAATGAATACTAGAACTGGTGGTGCGTCAACGGCACATACATACTTTTTCGCATTATTTCTAATTTTCGAAAATTTAGAGAGTTCGGCGAAAGTGACACCTGCGCTATTCTTCTGTTCTATCTGTGTTCCGTCAATGTTCATTCTAGTTCTATCCGTGGGAAAAAAATTGAAGGAAAGATTTGGAGTTGCTTATGAGATTTTTTTTATAATTTGCGATTACTTTCAGCTTGAATTGCAGACAAACTGCTAGATTTTCAAACATTGTAAACAACATTTTTTGAATATCTTCATTTTAGAACAGATTTCATTAGAGTTCGACAGAAATATGACTAGAGCCATATTTTTTAACTCCTTTGGTTCATAGGGAGAGGAAATTTGAAGAAAAATGTGGAGTCGTTTAGGAGAAAATTAATATTATAACACTGCTGTATTTTACACAAAATTACGCGAAATAACTAATATTTTTTAAAGATTGTATGTAATCTAATTTCATTATGTCATTAAAGAACAGATTTCATTAAGGAAAAATACTCTCTATTCAATATTGTAGTTGTAAGAAAACAAGAAATTTCAACTGATGCAATTTACGAGACGGATTTTAACGAAAATGAGACCTGCGTCATTCTTTTAAGCGTCATTTACAATATCCGAGGACCGATTAACAGTAAAAAATTAGTCACTGTTGAAACAAAACTGAAAGTGTAAACAAGGCTTTAAAAAAATATAAAGTGCCGCCAGAAATCCTTTTCAATCTCGCAGGGCCTGGCGTTCCTTTAAATCGGTAGGAAAATATCGATTTTCGAGAAAATTGTCTGAACGGTTTGGTACCGTACTAGCGTTGACCACAGACAGGCATTTTGCTATCAGTTGATTTTTCGGTATCAAGGACCCACAAAACATGTTAGAGGAAGTAATTTACTATATATAGGAAGAAGGTTTATTCACATTTGTATTACCAGGACCCATCAATAAAAGTTTTTTAGTCGAAAATTTGCCGTTTTTCGGCGCGGGATGAGAGTACTTTCTCTTGAAAACTGTAAGGGCGAGGATGTAAAAAGCTGGTACACTCATGCTATTAATGAAAAGGTCTCAATCTCCCCCAGATTTCAGCGAGAGGAACCAATTTCAACGTACGAATTATTTAAAACTTTCCACGTCACCCCCCCCCCAGCAAGGCGCTAATAGAACAAACAGCATCCTCCCAGTTCCTGCAAACTCTTCCCGTGTCTCAACACGTCATCGGAGAAAAACGTGCATCCCAGTTGGCAAGCCGGCGTCTTCGCCCCGACCCTCGCCCGCTCTTCCCACTTGATCCCGCTCCTCGGCCAATCTTGGCGCTTCGTCCCCTCGACGCGTCGTTTTCCGCGCCGTCGCCTCGATGCAGCCGCCGCCGCCGTCGCTACGAGCCGCCACCTCGTCTCCTGCGCCTTCCTTTTGCTCCGTCATCACTCCGCGACGTCTTCGAATCTCCTGCCTCAGCTCGCTCTGAAAATTATTCCTATCGGTCATAAACAAGCACAGGCTGGTTCAGAATGAATGATACAAACTTCTAGTGCAAGTAACGGGCGAAGATTATCCGCATTTGACCCTGAACAAAGACTTATATAATGAAGTTCCGACTCTTTTTTTTTCTTTTATAGCTTGTCCCTCATTTAGATGCAACTCATCTTGCTCTCCTGTTTGGTGGTTACACGAACTTTCAGGGGACGACTCCTTATTCCTAACGGTCATAAACAAGCACATGCTGGTTCAGAACGAATGTTACGAACTTCTAGGATAAGTAACAGAAAAAGATTTTCCGTATTTGACAATGAACAAAGAATTATAAAATGAAGTTCCAACTCTTTTTCTTTTATAGTCTGCCCCTTTTTTGAATGCAACTCATCTTGCACTGATGTTTGTAGGTACACGAACTTTCAGGGGACCACCTTTGAAAAGTTATTAGTGTTTTTAGTGTTCATTTCTGATACAAAAGCCGTGTGGTATGTCTACCCAATAAGGAGCGCGCTCCAAAAAATGAGTTGCGTGTATTCGCAAAGACTTCGTCCGGATATATAATATATTCCCGCGTATAAGAACGGATATTACTTCATAATGTTCATTTAATATGTGAGATAAATATTATTACAACATACAATACTTTTGTTAAACATAAAAGTGTTATCAGTGACATTGCCACAATCTCTAGTGGATATGTTATGGTGACTGTGGTTATACAGCTCTCTATTGGATATTGTAACAGCATGTTCTTATGAGTGACCACACTATCGACAGTAAATTTCTGTTAGTGGCTTTACAATAGTTAGGCGACGCAATAGGATGTTCGATGCTGTTTGGCTTCACGGACTATGGCTAAATTTACGAGTCCCTTTACGAGCAGTGTGTATCTATATTATCATTAAGTGTGATTGGAACTTGGCATGCATGACAGTATCACCATCAATCGCGAGAATTTGCTCCTTGTAATAAAACCAGTTGAAGTGTATTTGCGTTCAATCAGGTTGCTATTTACTGACATTTTGTTCTCCTTTTCAGTGAAGGAATCTTTCGGATTAAGAGACCGACAGACACAGATTTGGTAAGTATATCATTGCACGCACCTCGCGTGGTTTTGTTTGGTTCTGTTACGTCAATTCGTAATAACATTCAATATAACCACATACTGGCATCGAAATTCAAGTAGAGTAATCCTCGGTTAACTTAGTCTGCCATTGTCAGTAATAGTCATTGCCTCTCATCCCTTTGGCCAGGGGTTCGGTGCCGTTTGGTACCCGGGATTCCCAGACGGTCACCCATCCAGGGATCTGCGGTGATTCGATTGCTTAACCCCCGTGACTTCACGAAAGGGAGTTAAGCAATTCGGCTAGCGACGCCGGCCAACGTTATCCTGCGTCTGTTCGATTGCATTTGAGTCCTACATTCGCCTGCATCTTCGAAGACCTACCACCACTACCATCCCGCCGCCGCACCGCTCCTCGTCTCTTCCCATCTTCCAAATGCCCCAATTCCGCCGGCCCCCTCTCCTCCCCGTCGTTTCCTTATTCGTCGTGGGAACCCCGGCCGTCCTCTGACGCTGCTCATGCCACAGCCTCCCCCCCTCCTCCGACACTATTAGGAGTCCGCTGCTCCCACAGTCTCGCCGGAACAGACGGGATGAGGATTCCGGCGCAATATCTAGCGGATACGCCTTGGCCCGCTGGGGTTCGGGTTCGATCTCTGACCAATCTATCTGGAATTTGTGGGCATAATGCGAAATCACGTCAGATTTTCGCGTGGTTCCCAGTTTGCTTACATCTTTCCACTATTTCTACATCATCATTGTCGCTATCATCTATTCACTAGATCATCACTCATTGACCTTAGGAATCTTAGTAGTTGAAGGGCCATTAATTCTAAATAAAATAAAAAATATGTAAAAAATATAAATCATGTAAACATTATGAACCAACAGATCATCAACAGATATCATAGCTGTGCCTCTTACAGGGAACCCCGATGGTGTGGCACCATTTTCGACACTAACTACATAGCTAGATCGAATTAAGGCGATGTCTGGAGATTTGTAGCGGCCGGCTGCTCTGATCGGAAGTTTTCAATGTTGTTTCTTTTTTTACTAATATCAGGCGAAAGCCGGATCAGTGCCGTAACAAACGGGCCACGGATCGCGCGATCTTTTTCTTCCTTTCTTTGTCCTATCCTCACCCCTTACTTATACAATTTACCCTTACAGAGGTTACACCACCAAACATGTCGGGAGACCTGTCGAGAACTGAGCGTTTACCCTGCTGGGGCGGTACCCTGTTTGTGGGAGGTACCTTCATGGGGAGAACACCGCTAGTCGACGGGCAGGTCGGCATCGTATATCACCATCCCCTTGGCAAAATCACCACCACCTCCCAAGGGAAAAACAAGCACTACACTTACAGAACTAATGACCTCAGCAGTTGATCATCAAATCAATCAGTCAATAAAATCAGTCAATAAAGTCACCCGGAATCACCAATCAATCAGTCAATAAAATAAATAATATTAATAAAATATATCACAAATCCGACGTGCTTCCTCATTGTTCCGTCTCCACCGCCTCAGGCAGCCCCAGCCACCTATTTTGTTGTCAGTCATCTCGCCCTCCCCCATCACTCGTCATCTGTCTGTGCAGACGCGGCCACCGCCACGAACACCGCCGTCATTATTTCTGCACTCGTAAATTGTCACCGTTATAACTTTCGCCATCGCTTACGTGTGAGTAGGTGCAGTTGTTGCCATCGCCTTTCAAGGGATTCCTTCTATTCTTGTCTTCGTCGTCACCGACATTACAGCTGCGGGCGTCACCATTGCCTTCGCCGTCACTACAGAGAGAATTCAGTCGCGGTGACTGTCACCACTACCTTTAATTCCACGTCTTTCTCCTCTTCACCGAAAGTAACTACCATCGATCCAAATGTCACCATCACCGCCTCTGTTGTATCTGCGCTCGTACAGACATATTTCCCGCCGGGGGTTGCCATCGCCAACACCATCGCCAGCGATTCTACGCTCAAGCACCCACCAACATTTGAAGCCGCATTCAGTATTACCATCGCGAACACCATTGCCACTTGTTTGTACGTACGTGCAGCCGCACTTGTCGCCAATTCTACGAGGCTTGCTATTGCCATCGCCACCGCCCTTTTGCCGTCGCTGAGGCCACCGCCGCCGCCGCCGTCACCTGCCGGCGGCAGCGCGTCAATCTCGAGGCTCTAATTGGCCCATCACTGCTTCCGGCGGGCGCGGCGCGGCGCTGTGCGTGGTAGAAGCCGCGGGCGAAGGCTGTGTGGCGCAGTGGCTCCAAATGCGATTCTGAGCGGTCAGTCCTGCGTGACCTTAGAAGCCTCTGGCGAGGCCATGCAAATTGGATGTGTAATGGATGTGGCGCGCTAGAAACCTCGGGTGACCCGAACTGACGGACCGTGTAATTTGGAGTTAAAGAGAATGGTTGGTAAAGTTAAATTGTAGACAACATTTTAACGTAACTTGTGATAATATAGTTGTGTCTAAACGCCCTCGTAGTTAAAAATGATTTAAATTATTATTTTTTTAATTGATCTCGCATTTCATTCGTATTTTTTAAATATTTAATATCAGACGTGTGAGACGGAAGTGTAGAACAACCTCCTTCAATCCAGGGCTCGTGAATAGCAACGTGGAATGAAATAATATTAATGTATAGATTGAATACGTTTTTGTATCGCTCACATTTCTCTCTCAAAAACGTAAACCTCGTCCTCTGCTTCGTCAGCATGCAATCTGATTAACAAATGCAATATTGGTTAGATATTTGTAGAGATAATAAGTTAACTGGCAAATCTACGTTCTCTCTGACCAAAGTCTTTTTTTTAAAATTATAGAGATATGTATTCAGAAAAGAGTAAAATAATGTAGAATCATATGTGCTTCGTAATGTTGTTATTAAATTTGTATTAGATACTGATTATGATGTCTTGGTGGTTGAAAATCCTGATTTTAATTATCCAATAATTTAAATAATTGTTTTCACACTGTAAATATACTTTTAATTACAAAATATAATAGAAACATTTATAATTATCATTTTAAAAATGTAGTTACGTTGAAAATAATATGCAAGTATTTGAAAATATGATGTTGAAAAATATGGACTGTGCCCAAATTTTAGTAATGAATGTTGGTAGAATTCGTACATACGGCTATAAATCCTCCATAAAAACAAGAAGTTTACATCAAAATATTCACAACTAAATAGTAAAAAAACAATTTATATATTTCAATCCTTATATAATGTATTTGGATGATACAAAACATCCATCAAGGCAGGGACGAATTAAAATAAAAGTGCTGCCCCTAGTGGTGATTTCACGATGGGATCTGTTTAACCCCCTGGAGGTTCGGATGCGAATTGAAAGGCTGAGTGGCATGGGAGCCCTTGGGGACTGAGGGACCAGGATAATTTCCCAAATCGGCACTACGTCGCATTTGGGATTTAAACTAGTACTATCGTGCTAGTTACTTGCTAAACCCAATGATTTCGAACAGAGATTCTGAACCTCTCTTGGGCTCCGCGTACGTGTCACGTGAAGTCGAAATATAAAATACTAAGCAATCATCAAGTACTACGAAGGAGATCAACTTATTAAAGTAAAATATTAAAAGTATTTAATTATCATAACACCGTAATAAAATTCCGTACTATGTGCAGTGTTTCAATGCATCTCATTTAATTTTTAAAGTAATTTTTCGTTGTTAATTAAATCCAAATACGAACACCCGCTTGGGAGATACAGCCCGCAAACGACTGTGTGGATCACACTATTTTTTAGTAGACTGCTCTTAAAAATTCCTTTTCCAATTCTGACCATCAAAGTGTTTTGATAAGATTGTAAGTTGGGCCATAATCCCCTTGTCTCAAAAGTCGTTCAAGCCATCAAGGAAGGCTTAGCCATCAAATAGTGTTGCTTGAATTTTCTATAGATAGTATGAATGGTATTTATAAGTTGTATTATGTACTATTATAACATCCGACTTAAAATATTCATCAAAGGTTGCCACCAGGTATCTACGTACTTTCTAAGCTATAAAACAATCGCAGAAAATTGTTCAGTGATGTTTGAAACGTAAGTATTTCGTAGTTTCATAGCATTTCATAGCAATTGAGTAAAACTAGGTGGCAGTAATTTACAAAATAAATGCATGTTAATATAATAATTATATCAACTACAACAATGATTAATTTCGTATTACATTCGATAGCACTACAATACACGGCGAGACAGCACTGCATACCCTTTCGCCTCACGACATTGCACTTCATTGTCTTACGTTTCAGTACTCTCCTGCGACGTTCACAACACTTCTCTGAACTGTATAACACTTAGGTTGCTTAAATTTTAATTCATATTCTCAACTTGCTTAATTAAATTTTACTCACAATTCTAAGATATTTCTAAGCCTACGAACATTGCGAGGAATAATTTTCAAAATTGTTGCCAGCGAACTGTTTCAATCTCTTGTATTCCGTATAACGAATGAAAATTTCTCTGAATTCCTTTTCTAATATTTTTGCAAAAATTTGTTATTACTTTTGTGGCCCCCTCTATCGAAATACGTTGGTTTCTTTCTACTGTACTGTGAATTTCCTGTCAAGCCGGTTGGCCACCCTACGATTTAAACAAAACCCAAAGCCGCGCTTTCATTCTTGTTTTCGAGCGGTTACATGATTGAATTAATATGTATTTCTCGTACGTAAATTTGAAGGCTTTCGTTTGAATTCTTTCTTGATTTACTCTGTAAGTAAGTCTGTATGGGCCCCAACAAACCAATCCATATTTTATAATAGGGCGGGCAAGAGACGTACAAAGCCAATTCTTTCGCACTTGCCGTACATTTCTTTGATATTTGCATTACAAAATGTAACGACTTTTACGACTCTTAACTTGCCTTATGTAATTTTTTCACCCTGACTTCCTATCTCATTGAATATCAATATACAGAAATATTAAAAAATAGTTTGCTTCATTTAGTAATGCACTTAGCACTGTTTCCATTATTGCCTCTAGTCTGCCC